TTGATGCACATGTGGATCCAGATAAAACATTCAATTTGTATTTATTAATTAGAATAACAAATTTAAAACTGATGACAAACTGTATTTTCCATTTCGTCAACAAATCCCATGAAAAGACCAAAACTAAATATAAATTGATCAAAGCTGTAGTCTGATCCCTCTTCTTCCTCTGTTCCATAGAAATCCATTCTTGTCCAAAAACAATTTAAAACCTAATCAATAAGCCACACTGTTGCTCTAGTGACGAGAGCGTTAAATGTGTATTTTGTGATTTTTTTCTACAAACTACAGTGCCCAGCTGTATAAAAAAAGTTATTTAGCCTTTGCTTAAAAATGAAAGTATATATTCATGACCCGATCTTTAAGAGCGAAGTGCTGCAGACAGGACAAGTTGTGAAGTAGAACTAACTAACTCATTACTGGTTTTGGTCTTTTCATTTGATATGTTGACAGTAACGGAAATATAGAAAAGCACATGGCTTAGGCCCAATTCCAGTACATTGCTCACCCCTACCATTTAGCCGTTACCACTCTATTTTGCATGTTCACATCTAGGGGTAGTGTCATGATTCTTGTTGGGATAGAGGGGTAAAGTGAAGTGTAACGGCTACATTGCCCTCTGAAAGGTTTTTCAGAGGCACGCTTCAGACCGAGTGTTGTCAGAAATCAATGGCAAGATGGCAGCACAGGCAACAAAAGAAATCCACAAACTTCTTGTCTTTGTTAAGAAAGATTTTAAAAGTATGATAACCATCGTGATATCTTAGTTTAATGTTGTTTCAATGTATTATGGACCTTTTCTTTATAACAAGCAAAACAAAGAAAATTGCTAGAATGCAGAGTCTCAGTAGCTACCTAGCTAACATCACATTGTTATTGCCAATTTGTGCATGACAGTCATGCATTTTGACATATTTCTACGTCGCATCCCCCCTTTGCTGCTCTTGTTACCGCTCCTCTAACATGCACACTGGCAGGGTAGGAGCACCAGTTGCTAATACTAGCCTACAAAGCACCCCCAGTTGCCTGGTAATGAAACTGTGTTATTTTTTTATATGACTTGTTTGATTGATTGATAAAGTAAAAGTTGAAGTGAAACAGTTGTGAACTGGCAACACTCGTTGCAGCTGTTTAGGAAAACACCAACATCAGCGACTACTGATGACGTATAAGATCTTGGGGGGTTGTCCAATTTCATAGGGGAGGATTTCAACCACTACCCCTTGTAACTCTGCTCTGAGGGGCAATGTGGCGCTCGAAAATAATGGGGTAAAATTAAGAAACGGGACTGGGCCTTATTGGATGGATTGCGACCGGATTGAATAGACTGTGCAGGCGTGGTGAGCGTATGTGTTCTCCAAGTGCTGTCTGAAGTTTACTTAATGCAATATTTCTCACTTCTCCGCATTCTTGCAAACTGTAATATATTTTCACATGAGAAACGATCCTGGCAATGTTGAAACTGCTGCTAACGCTGCCAATATGTCGTTTCAGGATCAAAGGAGCAGCTTGGCTTCCAGTCTGCCTGGTGCTGCCAGTTCTCATCACCAGAACATCCTCAGCCACCTCCCTCTTCACTCCCAGCAGCAGGCCCACAGTTTGCTCCCAGTCGTTCCTGTCGGAGGGCTCCAGATGTTACACTCCCCGCCTTCCTCCAGCACTGATGTCACCCCCTCTTCGGCGCCAAGCCCCCAGAGCAGCGAGGGCCAGCGCTGCAGCAGCAGGGAAGGATCTGTCCATGGGCCCGAGTCTGGATCAGAGGACATCAGAGGCCTGATCCAGCTGTCCTCCTATCAGGCCGCTCAGGAGAAAAGCCTCGACCCCGGCGTCGGGGACAGCAGACAGGAGGAGAACGTCCAGACGTGCTTGAAAGCCATCGCCTCATTGAAGATTACCACAGAGGACCCTCACTGAAACACCCCTTTTTCTGTCTCCTTGATTCGACCCAGGAACAGACGCCCCCTCTGCTACACCTGCAACCTTGTCGTCCTCAGCCCTTTAGGCACATAACCTCATCTTTATCCCATTAGAGGCAATATAATAACACTTCCTCGGGTCTTGCACATACTCCAGACAGCTCCTCTGAAATCTGAGTGGAGATCAAACCTTCGCAGTGAAGAAGAAACCCGCCCTGTCTGATGTGCTCTTCTCTTCAGATACTGATGATGATTGGAAGAGCAGCAGGATGTCTTGCAAGGTGGAGAATCATTATTGGGTGCAGGTGCAATATGGAAAGATATTATGCTAATATGCCTTTGTTTGACATAGTAGTTTGCGTACAATTGCACATAAATTATATTTATGGATTCTGTACAAATGTCCTTAACATATACTCCTTCTTAGATGCATACAAACAGTGTATTTTACTGTATGTGTACTTTGAAAATAGACTGTTGTTTAATGTAATCATATCAAGGTGTGATGCAGTAGTGCAGTAAATAAAGACTATTTATAAGGGGAAAAGTATGTGTATTATGAAACAGTCTGACCAAATTTTAAGTAGACGCTTCTTGTGCAGTTTGGTGCTTCTAATCAAGCGGCAAGGGTCTGTGCCTTTATTTTGCTTTTCATCATTTTGTTATGAGACGGTTGTTGCTGAATACGGAAAAATGTCGAGGTAATCTTTATCCAGATGTGTCGGCGCTGTCAGTGAGTTCGCTCAAAGAAAAGCTTTTTCTTTCTTGTTCCGTCAGTTCTGCTGACAGGCGGATGCAGCTTGATTTATGTGAAACAATCTTAAAAAAAAAAAAAAAAAGTTTCTTATGTTGCATTTTTCTAAATGTTGTGGTTTTTATCTTGGTAAAAATGCATGGGATTTGCTATTGCACAAAAATAGAGGAAGTTAATATGTAATTATGAATACTGTAAGATGTATTTATATATTAGAACGTGAGCACTTATTGATACTGGTAAATATTTGACTACTATTTATATGGTATATCTGTACTTATGCAGCAGTGATGCAGTTATGCAGTGAGCCACGCTGGCATTGCTTTTGATCTCATGTCTTTGCTTTGATTAAACAGCGTTTTATTTTCTCTCTCTCTTATACAGATGACCATAAGCATTTTATGAGTTTTGACGATGCACTTTCATCCTTTCATCTTTGATGTTGAACTGACGTGGTCAGTGAAAATAAGGGAGTAAAACATGTTATGTTCTCTTGTGGTTTTTTGAAACATTCCAGTCGTTTTTTCACATTTCTCATTTTGTGAAACACGTTGCACACAAATACAAGGGGCTATGATGATCAGTCAATAGTATGTTTTCTTGCATTTCAAGTGTAACTGGATAAATCAATATCACTTTACTGTAAGTAATACTAAAGTAATGATGTTAACAGCGTGAGTTGGTTGACTATTACTGTGCTTCAGCTCAAAATGTAAGTAATCATTCACCAAATGCATTACTTCTTCTCTGTATATATACGTGTATTTTTATGATTTAAACTATTTTTGCAGTGTTGAATTCTGAAAACTTTTTATGTGGATTGTTTATATCTCTTTAAGAGGTAAAAAGTCTGCAGTTGACGTAACAGAGGTTTAACGAGGGCGAAAATAGCACAGTGTTGATCGCTAACACCGTGTGTCTCATCTTTAAAAAAGAAAAGACAAAAAGTGTATTCACATCTTCAAGTGGTTCTGTTACCAGTTTGAGAATGGATTTCAAAATCAGAAAACACTTTGTTCACTCATGTTTACATAAAAGAATTTTAAAAAGGTGCACTGCTTTAATTTTGTGTTTCCCTTTCTGAAGGTGTATGTAGCTTTGATTTCATGTAATTTTATTTGTTGTGATTTAACGGTGCAGAATGCTCATAAAATGTGAAGGGAAAGTGAAGCCTTCTATTTGCTTTGGCATACAGTATGTATTCAGATTGTGTTTGTGTTTTGTTTTTATTGTGTATTCATATTTACTGAACTGCTTTGTGCCTCTCATGTCTATGAAATTCCCTGTAAAACACACAGAGGACGAATCATTTTACCTCTCAGCTAAGATCTTTTGAGGAAAAAAAAAAAACCTCAGTAGCCAATCCGTTGTTTAGCTATTTGCATCAGAACTGGTTAGTCAGGACGGAGTGCCTCTTTTATGCTATGGGGACTTTATTGTTTGGTGCTCTACTTTTTCAGATTAAATTCAAAATTGTTTTAAAAGAATATACTTCTAACCCAAGGATGTGTGTTGCAGCTTATTTCATTTGTTTGTTTTTTATACTTGATCATTCAAAATGGCGTCCGTGCCTCTCCTCCTGCATAACTCACAATTGTTTAAATTAGAGCGCACAAGGAATCAGATGAAATCATTCACATTTTATCTGGAGGCGGAGTGTGGACACACACACACACAAAAAATCTCTCCAGAGTGAAAAATTGGAGAGACTCCTACCAGTGACATCCTCTGGTGAAAAATGATTACTGCAGTCATAACATGGAAGAAGAAGAATAAAATAAAAAATGAATGCTTCCAAAAATAGTCCTCACCTTGTGGATAATATTCAACCACTTTCAGGTTGCGGCAAATTCAGCAGCAACTCTGTGTATGAGCAGCACAGTCAGTGTGCTGCGCTCTAAGTGAATGCTGTGTTAAACGCATGTTAAGTGAGGAAATGAGTGTGATCTTTGAGAGCGTTATGCCGGCTCTTCTCTGGGTTTGGGGAGGAGGTCTGTTCTAATTCTGGCCAATCAGAGAGGCAGTTCATTTTTTTCCTCTCCTGCTCAGTGACTATGCCTGTCAGGCCCATTTGTTAGAATAATTATATGGCTGTTAACAGCATCCCAGCTTAAAATAAAATTAGTACTGTGATGGTTTAAAGCAGCAGAGGCGTTGCATGAAATGACTGCTGAAGATCTTAACAGAAAGGCTTTTAAACAATGAAGCAATCTGAGTGTATTCATTCACACAGCTACTGTATGTGAAGTCCTGCTTAGATTACAATCAGAGGACCATGGGTTGATTTTGTAAGCAGGGTGCATACAGTAACCTCTGTCCTCCCTCTCTCTGCTCAGAGTGAGCTGTGCTCCTCTGGTTTATTTTGAGGTGGTCTTATCACAGCTGTTGTATCTGTGGTGGCAGCCTGTCCCAAGCCCCTCGACACTCTTCCTTTTCCCTCTCCGGCCCTTGGTCCTGGTAAGACCCTGTTTGCTCGTTACCCTGCTTCTTCAGGGACATTTACACTTTAATAGCCAAAAAAAACCAGCCTTAAATTGTGTGCTTGAGATGGTTTCCAAAGCTGTACTTATCTTTAAGAGGTACTAATAACTGCTTGTTGGAATTTGATGGCTCTCTGAAGCTCGCCAAGTCTGTTTAAATTAAGAAGTTTTATCAGTGGAGACTTGGCTGTCATTTGTTAACAGAATGAAAAGAGATTAATTTCCTTTAAGAAATGTTTTCTACTTAATATTTAATTTCTCTGATTGTGCACCACCGCTATTGTTTCTTTGGACCTTCAAGAAATCAATAATTTCCTGCACTCATTTATTTCCAGTTGAGGCTCCATTTGGCCATCTGCCTCCTTTCAAAATATTGAATATAGATGAGGTCACTTATGTAATACTGCTGTTTTTCATAGTTGATAATGCAGCTTTTGTACACACAACCACTGACATTGACATCAATAAGAGTGGATTAGAAATAAATAAATAACTTGCCCATATTAAGAAGTTCCTAAAATAGCCTGTGGGGTCTGGAACAGGTGCCATGTGCTCTGCTTGTGAAAGCAGTGTGAAGGCTGCACTAATTTTATTCACGTAAACAGGCTCTGGCTGTGAGCCTGCACAACATGAGACAAACAGGCACAATCACTGTGGTACAATGAGACGCTCTGCGATCATTTTAACTGACTGGGGTTGAACCGTTTTCTTAAATGTGCCTGTCTTGATTGTGAAGCATAATGTGCCGTCAAGACCAAGGAAATACTGCACGTCTGTGGCAGCTGCAATTGTTTTTTCTCAATGAGCTCCTTCAGCAGAGATATATCGCTGTTTCTATGTGACTTGCGAAAAGGAAACATGGTGGTACCTGCTGAATGAAGTGGTGATTAAACAATTATTTTCATTAACAATTTAAAAAAATATTTTCTTGAATAATCATTTGGTCTAAAAACAAAGTGACTTATTTAAATGCCTTACTTTCAATAATCCAAACCCCCAAAATATTCCGTTTACTGTCACATGCCATGAAGAAAAGCAGTAAATACCAGGGGTGAGAATCACCAGAGGCCCCATGATACGATATTATCACAGTACTCAAGTCCTGATACAATTTTAGTGTGATTTTAAACATTTTGCAGTATTGTTATAATACAGACTGCAATATTTTGCAATTTATTTTATAATTATTCTTATTTTCATCTGCAATTATGTCCCAAAAAAAGATTATTAATACTCTCTAATAAGATAAAATTTTTAGCCTAATTTTAGACGAAATGAATCTGAAAAAGCAGTTTGATTTTATAACTCTAGTTGGCTACCAAAAGTTTAGTTTGTATTTCAATATTGCTAATTGTATAATATGAAAGAAATAATACTTGGAGTTCGTTCATTGATGTATTTATTTTTCCCTGTTGTAAATACTCATTTTTTAAAAAACTAAAACCACCAAAGGTTTTCCATTTGTGCTTGAAAAATACATGTCTTTAAATTATCTATGATCAAAATAGTTGCAAATGAATTGTCTTCGACTACTTGATAAATTAACTAATTGCTGCAGCTCTAATCAGCAAAATCCACCTGGCAATTTATCCGTTTCTGTTTCACAGTTGCAGTAAGAAAAGTTGAGGTATAAAAAATAGAATTACAGATTTAGTTTCAGGGTCCTGATATTGTTCATGCTGGTTCACTATCACACTGTCATGCTTTACATGGACACTTCAATAGAAGATGAATGAATATTAATTTTACTCCTTGGGCTCATTACAGAAACTGTTTCCCTCTCAGTAATAGCTCAGAATAATGGAGGCTTGTCCTGTACCCATGGGTCCCGAGGCGTCGCCAGCCGAGGGTCGGCACATTGACCTGACAGAGGACCTGGCCCAGCAGCTGGAGGACATCATTAGCACCTACCAGGCTGACGAGAATCCCGCTGAGCCAGAGGACACAGAGGAGGTCACAGCCGTCAAAGAGGCAGACACCCGCAAGGACCAGAAACTGGAGAAGAAGATGCTCAAAAACCTAGGTGTTTTTTTTTCTTTTCCTCAAAATGTTTTATCGATTTTAGCCGAGGTGGGTTTCATTCAGCTCAGTCAGCAAAAGTCCAAGTTGCACTGAAACTGATAGGTGTGTAAATAGAGCTGTAATGCGTGTAAGTGCATCCATCTGCGTAAGACGAGCAGGTAAAATAGTATTTCCACATGCCTTTTATAGTTGGCGACAGACTTCTCGTAACCCCATATTCCAAAATAATTTCTGCATATTTTGTCTGATGAATAACATTCACCTTGTGCTCCAGAGTAATCAAAATGAATTAAGTTCAAACTTTGTGACTGACATGTGATGTATATTTCTCTGTGGCTGCTCAGGGAAAGAAGCCATGCTGCTGATGCAAAGTTTGAACAAACTCAACACTCCAGAAGAGAAACTGGAAGCCATCATCAAGAAGCACGCTGAGCTGGTGAGCGGAAAGACACCGAAAACTGGACACAGTATATATCACTACTGTTGTGGGCATTTGGTGGATTTGTCTGTGTCTTTCCTCAGTTGGAGGAGCATCGGAGCGACCAGAAGCAGCTGAAGGTTCTGCAGAAGAAGCTGCTCCAGGTGATGAAGGAGAAGGACCAGCTGCAGAGCGAGCACAGTCGGGCCGTGCTGGCTCGCAGTAAACTGGAGGGACTCTGCCGAGAGCTGCAGAGGCACAACAAGACCTTAAAGGTACTTCAGCTCCTGTCATAGCAGCTCTTCATGTAGTAGTAGAAGTATTATACATGAATAACTTAAAAGACCAAATCTCTTACAGACATGGTGTCTAATCTGAGCTACTGGTTTTGCCATTTGTTAGTTGACTTTAAGGTGCCATGACGTTGTCACCATATGTTGTGCAGCTCTACAGGAGGTGACGCCAGTTGGCATCAAGGATCAACCCATGTGTCAAAGCTCAGGGTTTGACCTCTTAAACTGCCACAACTCCAGTTGTAAAGTCCAAGTGTCATTTAAACCAGCGAATCTCATTTCTAATTCTAGTGGAGATCCTACAGTTATACAAAGATATTGAATACAGCTCATCAGGCTGATTTAAATTAAATAATTCACAGGACATCTACAATATATTTACATCTGATTGAAAGGAGCAGATACTGCACCTTTAGTTGTGATGATGTGTGATGCAGCTTTTATGTGTGTTAGGACTAGGTATGGGACAACATGAAAATTTAATGTAATCCTGGCCAAAATAATCATGATTCATTATTTCAATAATCATCAAAATATGCTTGAAAATGGCACTAAAACATACTGGAATAACTTTATCTTACATTTCATTGAGAAACAAATAATTTTAGAAAGGACACACGTCTTTGTTCTTTGGTAAACATCCATTTCAGTAGAAAAACAAACAATGAAACAATCTTAAACAGCCTGGCTTTTCATCTACTTGAAATGGCATCATATCTTTCCATATGAAATATGCCTATGTTTGATTAAGATCTGTTTTATATTTTTAAGTTGGTGTATATGCAGCAAATGCAGCTGGATACGATATTCACCATAAGCCCGATAATGGAAATTCACCACAGTCAACTTATTGTAAGTGTTTTTTAAATCGCAGTGCTGCATTTAATCACACCATTGTCTCATTCCTGGTTAAAACAAAACATACATTCAGCTCTATGCATACAGTGTGGAAAAACTATTAATAATTTCAAGGGATATAAAGGGCAATCTAATGGTAAAACCATGGCTCTTCCTTGATGTACTGATTTATAATGCTTCAGATGTGAAGTAATAACAGAATATAACTGGGGAAAGTCCTTTCAATTGAATTCTTCAGAGGGTTTTTATACTGATATCTATGGCTGGAAGAATAACTACTTAAGTCAAAACAAGTAGCTGATTAATCAACTGATCGATTCATCATTTGGTAAAATGATTTTTCTGACAAAAACGCTAAACATTATCTGATCATAGCTTCTCAGGTGTGAGGGCTTCCTGCTTTTCTTTTTTAAGGTGACAGTTGATTGAATATATTGAGGTTTTGGATGGTTAGTTGGACAAAATAAGCAACTTGAAGATCATAATTTTGGTTTTTGGAAATACTGAGTGGCATTTTTCACTATTCAATGACTGTTTTCTCAATGACCCATTTAGTCTTTAAACTATCAGCAGATCAATAAATAACAAAAATAATAATTTGTCACAACTCTAATAACGTCACGGTGATACAGTGGTTAGCACTGTTGCCTCACATCGAGTTCAGGATTTGACCCCAGGGTAGTGGAGCCCCTCTGTGCAGAGTTTGCATGTTATCCCCATGTCAGCGTGGGTTTTCTCCAGGTACTGCAGCTTCCTCCCACAGTCCAAAGACATGCAGGTTAATTGGTGACTCTAAATTGTCCGTAGGTGTGAATGTGAGTGTGAATGGTTGTCTGTCTCTATGTGTCAGCCCTGTGATAGTCTGGTGACCTGTCCAGGGTGTACCCTGCCTCTCACCCAGTGTCAGCTGCAATAGTTTCCAGCATCCCGCGACCCCTAACAGGATACGGAAAATAAATGAATGAATAATAACCTCACACTTACAGAAAGTTATTGCAGTTTGATTCCTCCGTGTGTCCTGCAATAGACATTTGATTTTTAGGCTTTTCCGTTGTAAGAGAAAAAGACGCAGAGAGTACAACCACAGCTGTTTCTTTACTGAAAGACCTTCACAGATTTCACTGTTGCACGAACACCTGGGAATTGTATGAAATCAGTGGATGAGCTAAAGATGCTCCTAGCTCTATGTCACTGTGCTAACTGGAAATGTATCATATATAATCTGTCTCTGAAATGCAGGAAGAGACCCTACAGAGGTGCAGAGAGGACGACCTGAAGAGGAAAGAGATCACCACCCACTTCCAGGGGACGCTGAGCGAGATTCAGGCCCAAATTGAGGAACACAGCAGCCGCAACACCAAGCTGTGCCAGGAGAACAGCGCTCTGGCAGAGAAACTGAAGGGGCTCATTTCACAATACGACCAGCGAGAGGCGGTATGGATCCTGCCACGTACTGAGCACACACAGGTTCAAAACAGAATCACACAGAGTTTAATCTACATGCAAACCTAAATGGCCCGTGCTTTAAAACCTCGCACATCTGGGCCTCAGTGCCAGTTTCAAAAACATGAATCATTTGCAAATTTCACAGGTCTTACATTTATTATTGACAGTGTTTCACTTTTATGCAGCCAAAGACTCCCTGAGCAAGAAATGAAACAGCTTTCTCTCATAAATCCCCCTGATTGTCTTCCAGAACCTGGAGAAGGTCTTCAAACACAGAGACCTGAAAGAAAAGCTGCTGGAAACCAAACTCGCGCAGGCCAACATGATACTGAAGGAGACAGAGGAGAAGCACAAGCTGGAAAAAGAGCTTGTAAGTTTTGTGTATCAGATTTGTTGGGTGCTCCCGAGCATTTTTAATCCCTTATTTGCAATTCTAATCCCCTAATGCTAATTTTAATATTCCACAGCTGCTAAAACAGGCGGCAGAGCATAAAATGAAAGTGAAGGTCATGAAGGAGCAAGAAATCGATATGAAGAGCCAGGTACAGTAACAGGGCATCATGAGAAAAATTGACTTGTTATTCTTCCTCTCTAGGGGCACGTATAATGTTTTCCTCACTGTTTCTCCTCAGCTCGATATGTACTCCAAGAAGTTTGATGAATTCCAGGGCACAGTATCAAAGAGTAACAGTGTCTACAGCGACTTCAAACAGGACATGGACAAAGTAAGAGCGGTTTCACAGAATATTTGAAGTCAGCTTCATGATATTGGTTAGAATATTTAGTGTATCTGGGAATAAAAACAGGAATAAGAGAAAGAAATCCCATGAGATTTATGCAAACATTACATCTGACACACTGTATAATCCTACACTCGATTGTGGCAGCTATATTTAGAAGTGGCTTTGATTGTGTACTGTGTAACGTGATTTTTTTTGTGGTGTAGATGGCAAAGAGAATGAAAAAGCTGGATAAAGAGTGCCAGTCATGGAAGTCTCGCTTTGATGGCTGCAACAAGACTCTCCTTGACATGGTGGCAGATGTAAGAAACACTTTTCTTCTGTCAGTTATAGCCCCAAACAAGGATTTGTTTCTTCTTTAACCAGAAAAGACAAAGATTCCCCCACTTTTACAAATAATTTTCATGCATTTTAAACCTTTACAGAAAGCAATTAAGGAAAAGGAGTTTGAGCTCCTCACCGTCAAGAACCAGAAGCTTGAAAATCTGTGCAGGGCTTTGCAAGGGGAGAGGAAGAATCTTTATGAGAAGGTGCAGGGAGCTGGAATTCAACCAGACATCAACACTACTGAACCAACAGAGAAGGAGAACCCTGAGGCGCTGGAGACTCCTGAAGCCCCTAAAGACGATGACACCATCCAGACTACTGCAACCGCAGCTGCCTCAACTGCCCCTGTCGGGACACCAACACCCGCAACTCCACTGACCAAGGAACTGGCTAAACTGAAGGCTGAGCAGGCCCGCCTGAAGGAGATCGCCAGCTCTTTTACAATCTCTCATGTTATAGCCACAGAAACAGTCGATAGCCAATCACAAGGACTCTCTGAGGGCGTCCAGGAGCCAGTGGAGAATGACAGTAATGGTGAACATCTCCAGGAAGTCTTGGAGGATGGATGCCAAGAACAGAGAGATTTGGAAATGGAGTCAGTTGATTAATGCTGCAACTAATGTGGAAAAGAAATCTGGCTCATGTGAGATTCACAGCAATAAAAAGAAAAATGCTGGCGATGTGTTCAGTGTCTGATCCTGATATCTCAAGATTTAAGAGAGGGTTCATTTTAGTCGCTGCAACAGGCCAAATACAACTAAGCAGTTTTATGCATTTTCTAACCCAAAGACCAAAATGTAAAGGAAGTTTTGTCAAACTTCCACTGTTTAGATTGTCCTGATTGATCATCAGTGCAAAAGATTAACAACTGTCTTATAAAAATATCTGGTTCTTTAAAAAAAAGTCAAAGGTAAAAGACTGAGTACATAAAGAAACAATGTTATAAGTTAACTATGGCTCCTAAGATGCATTTGAGTAAGAGACATTCACGTTGCTGCAAAGAAGTTGCATATTCTAAAATGTGAATGTGAATCTTGTGAATCTTCAGCCCAGCAGCACAAATCCATACAATTAGCACAGTTTCAAGATGGACACCCAAAATTAGCGTCACAAATTCTGTATATGACCAAATGTTTTGCCTTCTGTTCCTTATGGTGTTAAATAATGGCCAGAAAGGTGTTTTTGTAGAACACTATGATGTCACAGTGAAGCTGACCTTTGACCTTCTGGATATAAAATGATATCACTTCATTCTATCCTGAAATTTTGTCATAATGAGTGTAGAAATTCTCGAGTTATGGCCAAAAACATTTTTGTGAAGTCACAGTGACCTTGACCTGTGACCACCAAATTCTAATTAGTTTATCCTTGAGTCCAAATGGACGTTTGTGCCAAATCTGAGGCATTGAGATACAGTGTTCATGAGAATGAGATGGACACAAGGTCAGAGTGACCTTGACCTTTAACCATCAAAATTCAACGAGTTCATCCTTGATTATAAGTGGACATTTGTGCCAAATTTAAATTTCCTCAAGGCCTTCTTGAGACATTGTGTTCACGAGCATGAAAGGGACCAGAGCACCACGACCGCGACCTTTGATGTATAACCACCAAAATCTTATCAGTTCATCATTGAGTCCAAGTGGAAGTTTGAGCCAAATTTGAAAGAATTCCCTCAAGGCATTCTTAAGATATTGCGTTCATAAGAATGGGATGGACATACTGTATGTACGCACATAGATAGGTATGTACATACAGATGGTCAGACGAACAACCCAAAAACATAACATCTCCAGCCTCGGCTATTGCCTGCATGGAGGCATCAAACTCTATTCTCTCTATTTTGGAATAAATCAGGGGAGCAGATCTATGTTCACAGGGTCCAACATTTCCCAGTTTAATATTCTGTTAAGACACATCAGCCCTCCTATTGTGTTCATGCCACTTTCTTGTCCCTCTCTGTCCCTTAAATATCTTTGGCTTTCTCTGCATAACAATAAATAACACATAGCCACGAATAGATTGACATCTAAGGTTAAAATTGACAAGTAAGATTGCGTGTGAATGTTTCAGAACCCCTTTTTGGGTCTTTTGTCCTAACCTTAACCTGTTTGGTGTTCGGAAAAGTTAGTTGCTATGAATGTCTTACCCTAACCTGACCCTTGACCTCTTTCCTAACCTTAACCTGTTTAGCAATGGGAATTAAACATCGTCCTGGACCTCTATTCTAACCCTGAAGTATCCCCTTTTCATTTCTTAATTGGTTTGTTGTTATTTTTCCATTAAAATATATATTTTTTAATGTCTTGGGGGCCAATTACTTTTAGAACTGTTCTCCTAACAGAAACAACAACTTTATTTAGACAAAGCTTCTGGCAGTACAATTTAATTTTTCCCTACGTCATGATTTCAGTCCCCTGTCATATTGAGCAAATAAAGAGCTGCTGATCAGGTTCTCATTATGTGCTACAGAGCTGGGGAACATAGGACCCTTTGTTAGTTTCCATTATGTGCCATATAAATGTGGGAGACATACGACCCTGGGAACATAGGAATGACCCCTAATTTAGAAACTATGCTGTGTTCAGTTCACAACTGAAACAACAAAGCATTTTGAAATTTGTGCATCTGACTGAGCCTTTCAAATAACATTGAGAGCATCGTTTAAGGGAAAAAAAAAAAATGAGTGCACTGAAGGTGGTGAAGCACTTCCAGAACTAGCTGTTTCTCTTCCTAATCAGCACCTCTTTTCACAAATCTGCATAACAGTTGTCATGTAGAGTTATTTTACCTGCAACATAAGCAACAACTTGAGAAGCTAAACGAGCTAGAAGACATTCAGGGGCGCCTCTAGCAATTCATGTATAGGTGCCGTCTCACTCCCTCTTCTCAGCCTTGCAGTTCATACAACTGAAGTTTCATCCAGTAACCACTATAACTAATGGCAGAACAGTACCAGATTTTTCACCTTCTTCACATTGGATTGTGATGTTTATCACAACTTAAGCAATATTTGCAGCCTTATAGTAGATACAGAGCTCTTCTCTACTGGAAAAGCTCCAGTCCATGTTCGATTTTGCCCCTCCGTGGCACAGCAGCCTTCAGTGTTGATATGCCATTATTAATGACGTGAAACCAATCTGACAGTGCTGTGGGCGGGACATTAGGCTAGACTACAGAGAGGTGACTAAAGACAGAGGCGCTGCATCAGAGCTAAAGAAGTGCATTTTTAATCAAGTTATTTTATCCAGCGTTAGCTTTTAAATCGTAAAAAAAAACGAAACAAAAAGAAAATCAACATGTGGCGGTCAGTGATAATAGTTTGGCAGACTGCCACAAATAAATCAATGTATGGGAAACACTGCAATTTAGTTTTGCATTTCCAAGTTCAGGGACTCACAGGGGACAGCTTAAAAAAACTGAAGCAGCAACCCTCCAAAAAGACTGGAACTTAAATTTCCCATAATACAACCAACCCTCTCTATCTGCTGTCTGTAATAAACATGTTCTCTCTGGAAAAAATTGTCAGACCTGAAACTAAGGTCCTTCCAGAGCCACAGAAGATATTTTACAATCATTCTCACTAACAGTGGTAATTCTGATGAGTCAACTAATCTTCCTGTGTAAAATCAGTGGAGTGCCCCTTTAAAATGAGCTCAAACAAGCAATCTTTTGTTTATCCATTTACCCAGAGTGGACTTCGAGAGAAAGCAGAGAGTGTTTCACTCTGGTGCACTGATAAGAAGCTCCGTATCTTATGAAACTATTACAAATCAGAAAATGGCTGAAAGAGCAGACCAGACCGCAGTGAAAGCTCTCAAAACTTTTGTCGGAAGTGGAAAAGCTCTGCTGGACCTCGCTGAGAAGGAGAGCAGAGAAGGTAGGCAGCATGTTGTGGGGCCGGACAAGTGCACATAAAAATAGACATGCAGACGCCATTTGCTGCAGTTGGCAGGAGATTTATGGCCGTACCATGAGCGGGGGTAAGCAGGAGGCCTGTCAATCATTCAACGTAAAGAATGAACCCAGACAGACTGTCAGACATTAACTTCACAGACTACCAGACATTCATTTACTTTTCCTCACACAGGCTCTCTCCAGGAATTCATCAGGCAGAAAATCCGCATAGAGCAAAGACAGTCACTGCTGGGTCTGATTGAAGCTGCTGCAGATTTGTACAGAAGGTCTGCACTGTACACACACACAGTAAATAAACAGCCTCTAAAATACAACTTAAATTAAAATATAAAGTAAACAGAGCTTCATGACAGCAGAGCTTCAGATTTGCATTCTTAGACATACAGAAGTATGTTGTTTATTTTAATTTTTTTCTATCTTCACAGTTTGTCTGTTAAGAGGAAAAAGGATGCAGAGAACCTCTGGAGACAAAACAATCAGTAAGAGCTAAACTGCTAAAATTGCTGGGAGGTTTTGTTTTATGTGACAATAAATCAATACTTTTGACATAGCCAGCTTTGTAAAGACATAAATTTGGGTGTTGGTGGAAATTGTTATGAAAATGTCACATATTCTGGCATTTCATAGACCCAACTATTAATAAAGTAATTGAAGAAACAATCTGCAGATTGATCGATAATGAAATAATTTTTAGGTTTCAGTCCCGGTGAGTGCAAAACATATTGTCTACTTAATGCCGCAAATGTTTTCATCTCTGTGCATTCGCACCAAAATTTCAGGAAGGATGACAAATAATTAGGTCTGGGTATTGTTTTAAAAAATTATCATACCAGTACCAATATCATTACCCCTAAACCCCTCATAAGTCCCACCCTTTTTTACTCTGTGCCCCAACAACAGTTATAGCCCGAATCTGGAACCAGACAATAGAGAGATGCCTCGTTTAGAAATACTTCCGGGTAGAAAACCAGCAGAGTTTAGCTATATACCGTATATATATATATATATACACACACACACACATATATCACATTTTTCAATCAATAAAGGTTTATCTTATCTTATATATCTCACATTTTTCACGTCACTATATCACTGTTTAGACTAATCAAATGTTTGTAAAGTCTATAAACACAATGATTGAACAAACATTACTATTTCTGTGTGCACATTTTGTAATTAATATCCTGGTTATCATAGATTAGCCGCTCTAACCGTTAGCTGTTAGCGGTGTCTGTAATAACTCAGTAACTCAATAAACGGTCCGTGAAAAAAATATTGTTTCCAGCAGATATCTTAGTTACAACATGATTGAGCTAGCAAAGCAGTTTTGTGTTGCTATGTGTGGTATTTATTCAGTTTTGGGAAATCACGATGTCTAGAAAGCATCAGTGGCTGCAGCTGACAGGGACAGCTAACAGCAGCAGCAAAGCTAACATCAGGACGTCATCTGTTAAAAGCCTCCCGTTGTCGGATACGACATGAAACTACTCCAGTTAGCTCAATCATGTTGTAACTAAGACATCCGCTGGAAAAAATATTTTTTTCACGG